AGAGAGAGAGAGAGAGAGAGAGAGAGAGAGAGAGAGCGCGAGCAAATGCACTCTAAAGCCTTTGGACACAATGTCCTTCCTCCCATATCATGTTCATCCAGTAGCCGACAGGAGTTCTTCCATTACCAACCCAGACTCACTGGAAAAACGTGCCTGTTGTGACATTTCTGCTAAATGATATTACATTGCTTCTTGCACATTTCGCAACATTTTCAAAGTGAAATATCACATAAGAGTGATGCTACAAGTGTGATCAGTTTTATCTGAAACAGATGAATGTGAAGGTGGCAATGTTTTATTACATTGGTTGCTGTACATAGGCTATTGTGGCAGTTTGGGAATTAAATGTCTGATCAGTGGCACAAAATGCTCTATCGCATTTGTACCACCTACAAACAAAACAAAAGCAAACATGAGATTTGAAATGTTTGAAATGTAAAACATTAAATATTTTAGCTTGCTTCTACATATGTGGGATCTCTCTTATTCAGCATTGTGACTCCTGTTTCACAGAACTCATGCAAGCACTTACTAGGTGAGCTGCCAAGCAAGTTTACTACATCAGAAAAGCCATAAATATGGAGCTGGTTATGTGATGCAAATGCCAAAATATATTAGGGAAATGTGTTTTAAGTTCATAACATAGAATTCTGCAATTGAAACTGGAAACTGCAGTGAATTGTATGTATATTTACGGTTTTGGAGGCAAGGTTTTTTTGTTTTTTGTTTTTTTTCAATGAGCTTATGTTGTCCATTACACTCCAAAATAAATAGGATTGTGCACACATTCTCCCCAGTTAAACCCAGATTTGCACCTCTTCCATAAAGACCCACTCTTTTAGACCCATCTAAAGCTAGAAGAAGCTGTACTGTGTGTGAAGAACGTCAATACCAGCACTCTCTAAAGGTCAGCGGCAGTCGTTATCATCTGAACGTGTTGACACTGATAATGATAAACAATTTGAGGTGAACGCACAACAAACAGGGAGATTCTTTGTGTCTGAGCCACTGAGAGTTAGCCAGAGCTTTGAACCATTAACTAAAGTCCACTGAGATCCTAAAACGTCTAATCTAAATAACCTTGTTTATCAAGGTTGCTGTGAGAAAAAGGCACACAAGACTATGGATTTACACTAATGTACTCCCTCAATATACAGTACAGGACAATCACTAGTTGGGCTCAGATGATTCTTACAAAGCCTCAGGCTGACAGAGACTAACATGTGTTATAACAAGCCAACAGTGACTAAATCTAGTCATCATTTCAAATAAATGCATTAGCATTACCATTCTCACGCAGAACTGCAGAAGAGGCAGTGAAAAGAGTTGAAGACAATATAAAACTGCAATCGCAACATTTAACTTTCATGATTGTGGCATATTTCTGGGTAAAATAAAATCATCTGCTAGAAAAAAAGGGGTAGACTTAGTGAACATGGGCTATGGTGTTATTGTTAGGTTATTGCAAAAGTAAATATTTAAAAAAAAAATGAAAAACAATATTTAGCTACAGAAATGTAGGGTGGGACTCAGTGATCAGGAATAGTCTAGGATGTAATTGATTAATTTTATTACACTGTTATTATACTGTTATTACATTAGAAATCTAATTTTTTAAATTTTCAATTAGTGAAATGTTCAGCTAGAAAAATATGTTATTCATATGTTATTACATAGTTATTATCAAACTTGATTATAAAACTTTCCCCCCACTAGAATATCATGCACTCATGAATTGTGCAAAATGACGGACAGGTGTAAACAGAAGGCAGTTTTGGCTTTGTTTTTCTGGGGTTTTGCATTGTATGTCATCAGGTCATTTGGATTTCATGTTGATCCTATTTCAGGGTTTTGGCACAAGTTTTTTGCTTTTACCTCTGCCTCCGGAGGGCACTGTTGCCACATCACCAATGCCAGGAATACTCATGCTGAGGCCAGTGTTCACTAGATGCCCTTCAGTGGGCTTCAGTCGCCAATTCAAGCCAAGCAGATTAAGAGCTGTGAGGGAAGGAAAGAGAGAATTTAAAAAATAGAACATGACACTACATTACACCTCCCAACCACTTTATGTATACACGGATGACACGTCCTGACAGCCGAGAGCCTGCGACACCCATACAACTATAACTCTTGCTGACAGAGACTTTAGCATAGACTTTAGCATACAAATACACTCATTATAGCCAATGACACTTTGACTACAGTCTGTGATTTGTTTGGGCTCTGTGCCCAGACAGGTTTAGTTGGACCAGGTTTAATCCAAACTGCTACAGGAATACTAAACTTGCTGTAGATATAAATATGTCATACAGAAGCTGGTGGCACATTAGCAACACAAAATGTCAAATGCAACACAATACAATAACAGGAAGGAAGTGACACTTATCTTCATTCTGCATAAGGTGTGAGAAGACAAGAAAATTGTCTTAAATAATAAACTGAAGACAGCGTAAAGTTGGTGGTAGATGCCAAATATTCTGAATACTTTCTTGTTTGTGTGTGTGTCTGTGCTAGAGAAAATTTTGGCTAGCCGCCTGCTTCTCTCCGCACCCCATATGCACTATAATCAGTGCTTCAGCGCTTCCAAGACTTTGTAGAGACTGATTAGCTCCAATGGAGATCACTTGATATGCAATATTCAAATATGTCAAGTCGTGTTTAAGAAATATGATAATGATCAGAAAAAGTTAGTTTTGTGATGTGCTGGTGGAAATTACGAACGAGATGCCCCAAGGGAAAACAAGTACAGCCATACACACACACACACACACACACACACAATATTGCGGGAAAACGCTGACGTTCGCAGTATCAACCATAACACCTCACCTCCGCCCCCTAGTTATTCTATCCCTCCCTAAATCTCATCCATGCAAAATCAATGCCAACTCAGTCTTTCCCTGCCTCCTGACATCTGAGGGCGCATTATCACTCTCATGTAGAGGGGTTAAAAGAAAAAGCTGACTCCTTCAGGCTGTTAGCAGCTCTGATGTCAGCAGCTCATTGTCCCACACGCATTATTCCTCATCTTATCTCTCTATACTCTAATCAGCCTTATCTCTTGCTTGTTCATTGTTCTTTTCACCATTCTCGTTTCCTTCATCCTTCCTGCTTTTTATTCGTCCATTTCATTGCAGTGCTCACTGACAAAGATGGTCTGTTATGACCTGAGACATCTTGTCACACTAAGCCGAGCTGTGGAGAAACTCTTAATATATTTTTTTCCTCCCATCTATTGTATCCAAAGCTGATATTGCAACACATAAGTGCAAATATTTCATTATATTTTATTATGTTTTACCAGTGACACATTTTTTTGGAGGGTTTGAACTGCAAGAAACTAAAGATCCTGTTAAAGTAAAAAGATAAAAGGATACAAAAAAAGTCATACATTTCCAAGATTGGAGTATGTTATACAAAATAAATACTTCTATGTCTTTCTACTTCAAAATTTCACATGCAATTCAACGTGCTACTTGCCATTTCTTTATTATAGTTTGTGAAATGTACTACCAAAAGTTGTTTCAAAGGCAATCCTACATCATTTTTTTCAGTGTAATTAAAATAAAATATAAATAATAAAATACAATAAAAAGGAGACTTTTTTCTTACAATATTGCAATGTGACTATATCTCAAAATATTACTTTATATTCTGCAATGTGACTTCATATCTCACAACATGACATTGTGACTTCCATGTGAAACAGATGTATGTTTTCCCCTTATAATAGCGAGTTGCATTCATGGCTCAGGTGATCAGCCACAAAAATATGTTTGTGGAGTTCTTTTTAAGCAAGATTCCAGTGTCCAGGTCGTATACTTACAGGGCAGCAAGTACAGGTGAACAACAGCTATTGAAATGAAATGCTAATGGATTGCTCTCCTCACATTTATTAAACCTTTTTGAATTCAATCACAAAAGAAAAAAATCACTCAACTCATAAATACCTTGAGATGCTTTTAATTGGGTTTATATAATCCTTAAATAGTGTGTGGTAATATGCTCAAATCACACACAGACTTAAACACGCGAATCACAGCAATGGTAACAATTCAATTTTATTTATTTTCAGTAATTGCATCAATAACCATTGTATTTGCTCGTTTTGTTGTGCCACTACTGACACAAGACAGCAAAAAAAATTGGCAAATATCATTTTTTTCAGTGTAATTAAAATAAAATATAAATAATAAAATACAATAAAAAGGAGACTTTTTTCTTACAATATTGCAATGTGACTATATCTCAAAATATTACTTTATATTCTGCAATGTGACTTCATATCTCACAACATGACATTGTGACTTCCATGTGAAACAGATGTATGTTTTTCCTTATAATAGAGCGTTATCATGGCTCAGGTACACTGTACACCCTAATGGTCAAAGTAATTAAAGGGGTCACTGGATGCGACATGCACTTTTACAAGCTATTTGAACTGAAATATGTGTTGGCAGTGTGTGTACACAACCACCCTATAATGATAACAATCCACCCAGTGTTTTTTTTAATCTACTAAAATCTTTATCCCTTTCTCAAATCGAGCCGATCTCAGATGCCTGTCTGTGTGACATCACAAAA